TGATTTTAAACCTTATTTAAAGCGACATTTTCTTTTATGGAATTAGGATATAAACATTCATGAAAGTAAAACAAATAAATGAATCAACAGAAATGAACAAGCAATTCATATCCATTTTTGGAGGAAAAAACAGTACAACTGAAGGAAACAAAATTATCCTGCATATCCTGCATGCAATCCCTCTTCAAATACCTAGCAAATTTGAGATAGTGTGGAACCCCACATGAATGTTCAAATAGGAAATTAGTAATTTATGTGGGGTTCCACATTATCTCAGATTTGTTTAATTAGGATGCAACTCATATATAGTGAAGGTGGATTCTCCATTCCTGGTCTAGACTATATCATCAAGCCTACTTACTAACTACTGGAACTGTGTTTCTCATTTAAATTATCCATCCAGGGTACTTTTGGAATCCTCTTGTCTAGTATCTCTTTCTAAATGGTCAGCTCTGGGGATTATATATGTTGAAATAAACTCCAATCCCCCACCCAACAGCTTCAGTTGCAAGAGAGACGTGGCATATATTATCATTACAGATTCTATTTGATCCATTCTCACTTTCTAAATTTTAAAATTATCTAATACTTAATATATTATTCCAAACTCAGATTTGGAATCGTGAAAGAAGTTTTTTTTAATGGAAGTTTAGGACAGATGAAACGATTTTTATCTTAGATCAACTAAGTGGACATGACGGGTTTTTTTTCCATTTTCCATTTTGAAGGCTGATTACAACTTGTCACTTTCAGTTGAGTGCTTTGGTCTCTCCTAAATTTTTGGAAATGTTTATCAAATCAGTCTAGGAAAAGAAGCCCACATTATTTGTCCCAAAATATTTGTTGGCAGTTAATAAATATGGCACAGAAGTTCTTAAGAGATTAATGGAATGGGGAAATGGCTCGCTCTATATTGCCTAATAAATCAACAGAAAATGACATTAACTAGTATACCCAATGTACCTATGGATCTTAAGCTATGACTTATACAGTAAAAAAAAAGTTTAAGGTATATTGGACACACAATGTCTTTTTAGGAAAAGTTTGAAGAAATCATCCAAATGGTGTTGATCGTGTCCTGCTATAAGCTTTTTGGGGGACAAGTTATCACTTGAATTAATTTTGAATTCAACAACTCTTTCATCTTTGTTGATGCTTATGTACTTTTAACTCATGTACCTGCTTCCTGAAGATTAATCATCAGCTAGTGCAAATGAACTCTCTGTGCCCTTACTGTTGCTAAAAGATTTATATTACGGCACTGGAAAGATACCATCCTCAGTAGCACAAAGGATAGAGGATTTTAAACACTGTTGATATGTGAATGTATGGCTTACAGACAACAACTATATATGGATATATTTTTAAATATTCGGAAGCATTTCATCAAAGCTTATGTATAGATATTTTTCCTTCTCTCTTCTTTTGAAAATAACATTGCAATATTTCTAGTTTTATTATTTTACCTTCTCAGCAATTGTGTCCTTTTCTTAAATGTTATCAATAAAAAAACTGGGATTAAAAATGTACGGTATGTCAAACACTAAGTTACAAGCACATAAAAATATGTTTAGTTTAATGTGGAAAAGGCTAAGGGGACTTTAGGAAGAAATGTGTCATGATCAGTACACAAAATCATGAGAAGATATCCAGTAAACAGTAAGGACTGGTTTTGAACAAGCATCTTTTTGTTGCTCATATGTGCAGCAATGGGGGAGTTTGGAAGTTTTGCATAACAGAAATTCTACCATCATGCCTTTCTATGGTTTTGTTATTCTATTAGAAAAAGATTAAATTGCATTTTTTTCATAAAATCAATTACTAACATGTTAATAAACACAGTCAAATACCATTTTCATGCAGTTTTTAAAAATGTTAATACAGTATCTGCATTCGTTTTTCATCGTTTAGTCATGTCCGACTCTTCGTGACCCCATGGACCAGAGCACGCCAGGCCCTCCTATCTTCCACTGCCTCCCGGAGTTATGTCAAATTCATGTTGGTTGCTTCGATGACACTGTCCAACCATCTCATCCTCTGTCGTCCCCTATCTGCATTAGCTTTCAGTATTTCTTTCTTTTTCTCCAATGTAAACAATTTAGGAAAGCTGCATACTACTGAGGATACATATCTTACAACATTGCAAGAAAAATAATTTTTAATTAAAAATTCAAATCTGTTCAAATATAACAACAAAGCTATGTTGTGTGCTTTACTTATAAACTAACTAGCATACTGATGTTAATTTAAACATTCCTGATTAACTCCCTCAGCTTTTTGAGATACTTATGCAGCCTATAATATTAATGTGTTATACTTTTTTAGTGCTTTGCAAGAAAACAAACCTCTCAATTGGATCTCAACTAATTTAGGATAACAGAAACAGTTCCTGAAAATCCATGTAACTGAATGAAAAAGCCTAAGTATAGTATGGTGATTAACACACGGATAATTGCACACACAGAACTGAATGCAAAACTGCAATGGCAGGTACAGAGGAAGCTTTCCCCCCTCCCCACAACCAGCTCTGCAGGGGGTTCCCTGTTTTCTGCAGCTGATCTTGAGGATGCACAGAGGCTGCACTGAGTGTGTGTCAGTTGCCTCCCTCCAAATTCTACTGGATTCACGTTCAACCAACACAAGTTCATTTTTGGCTCCTACCCACTACCCACACACATGAAGGCATGGTGAATATGAACAAATTGGTATTATGAATTGTCTGGGGTCATGCTTGGAAATGTGAACAAGTCCAAAGTGCCTGGGCCAAAGATGTTCTGCACATGCATAGGCCTCCCCATTTGTGTGCCTGCACAGAGACCCAGAAGTCTTCTTGAGGTTTTCAGTTTGTGCAGTAGCACTTTAAATCATCACACCTTAATATGAACTTGCAAGTTTTTCATTGTTTACATTCACCTTGCACTAACTCCAACTTCAGGTTTCCAATGTAGTAGCCAAAAGGAAAATATTGGCATACTTTCCCCAGATAATTTATAAATGTTATGAAGAATCAAATACAGGATTACTTACTATAGTGAGCAGCATACTGTACTGTATATTTATAACATACACAACCCAGACTTATCAAAACGTCAGTCTCGACTGACAATCACTTTAAATCAGGAAATTACAAACAAGATGTTCCTTTTCTGCTCCCCAATTTTTATATGCCATTATATAATGACATCAAAACATAAACTATCTCTGCAATACCTGTATCTTGCATTTCCAACATATGTCTGTTTTTCAAATGTATCCTTACACTCCATATAAATGCATATACAGTATAGTCTTCCACCCTTCTCATTCAAGGACATTTTTCACAGTCCACCAGAAAAATATAACTTCCTTCTTCCTTCTCTAATCATGGGTATTTAAGCATTAAGAAGGCAGATTAATTCTAATCAACTGCCAATTTTGAGCCTAGAGTTAAAATACATTTCTGAGCAGCGTGAGCCATTAGCTCTCTCATAATATACATATTTAGCAAAGAACAATGCTAAAATTGGCATCACCCCAGTATTTGTGCCATTCCTTAAGAGAAAACCTAAAATCACAGTTGGCATTCTTTCCCTTGCTATTTTCATCTCCAGCCTCTTCCCTCACGTCATCACCACCACCATTTTATTGGCATATCATTTATAGCTCATATAGAACCAGGTTAGCGATGGAAAAACTGAACACAATCAGCATTTTAATTCTGAGCTTATGCTTCTGTGGCAAAACAATAAGCATGTTCTTTGGATTTCTTAGATTCTGGAACTGTACTCTTTAAAACAGATACACACACTGTGTTTCCTTTATTGCTGTACCCCACCCCACACACCATTTTATGCATTTTCATTGCTATGATATTTTGTCCTAAAAATCTAACATGAAGTCTGTCTTTTCTGAATTTTAGTAAATGCTTTTCCTTTTTTCACTCATAAATCTAGTAAAGCTACTCCTATTTTAAAAATACACATATATCACTCAGTAGAGATCCCTTTTTAATTATGTGTCGTATGTCCTCCTGATCAGTTAAGATACATCGAGTACACTGTAACTGTGTTCTCTCTTGTACATTTTGATGATCATTCAACATAAAAGTACCATTTGGATTTACTAAATTAATTATGCCATCATCTTCAATAAAGGCAATGGCTGCCAAAGGTAGAATTACATATAATTTATGATAATACCTGCATTTTTAAAAAAGAGTTCTATTTTTACATATTAAATATATTTTATTTACTATACACATGTGGCAAAAATGATTTTAAAGCATGAAATGGTTGGACAGATTTGTTAGCTGTACTGCCTACCGAGAAAGCCAAAATATTACATAAATATATAACATTAAAGCTGTAATGTATGAATATTAGAAACTGATTGACAGATAAAATGATTGCTCTAAAAACACTTCTGAGTCATTTTGTCCTTACCTGCAGGTATGAACCATTACTGCATGCAGTGACTGCTCCATTTCCTAGCACAGACTTGAAGCAGCATCACATCTCTCTCACAGAATGTGACTAATTCATAGGTTTGCAATTCCTAAGCTATTAGCAAAGGACACTCCCTTTCAACACAACATAAAGCTTTTAACAGATTCTAATTTTTACTGGAATAAATTCAAAAATAATGGCAATTTTTAAGTAATACCATTGAGAAATCCATACAAAACATCTTTCAAACTGAATTTTAAAAATCAAGATGCTTTTCACTAGTGGAAAACACACACACACAATGCAGTAACAGTATAAATATACATATGTACTAGAATACTGTATTATAAATTTGCATGCTATGCAGATTAGACTTCATTTTCTTAAAAAATGAAAAGAAACAATAAGCCCTTACATATGTCACAAAGCTCAACCAGAAACACAGATTCAATTACTACATTACGACAGCAAGCATGCAATAAATCAACATAATCAGCAAACAAGAAAAAAATACCCTGTGCTGCAGTCTTAGCAATATTACACCATTAATTGTTCATGCAGGAGGTGTAGCTGTACCTTTCTGAAGAGGACGACTTCTCAGAGTTAACTGACATCAGCAGCTCAATCTTCTGCTTGATTTCTGGAAAAATCAGAAAATATTCACAACCAAAGACTGCCTGCCCTTGTTTTTCGATGCCTTATTAAATAGAGATTTTTTTCACTAATCCCCTTTGTTCCAAATTAAGCCACAAAATTCACTGTACTTCTGCAGAGGCAGATTCAATGGTGCTATAAAAGAAAAAGCTCCAGAGGCATTGGGCCTTGCTAAACTATGCACATAACTGTTTATGAAAGCAGGAAGTACCATTTGTTTCACATAGAGGGGTGTTTCCTCTGTTGAGGTTGAACTGATATTTGCCAGATGATTCTTAAAACAGACTGCGTGCAGAGGCACATTCCAGATACTAAGAACAAAATACTTTAAAAATGGTTTATGGACTTGCACAGACAAACAGCAAGAAATGTGTTTTTAACAAGATGGTCTTTCAAGAGATTCCAGAAAATGGTTTTCACATCATTTTGTCACAGAAGAGATAGTCAGAAATTAATATATACTGTAGATTGAAAACCATAAGCAGTGTTAAATACCTGTATTGCTAAATTAATACCACACAGGACATCATAATATGAAAGCTGAAAAAGATTTTCCCCACCTTAAGTTTTCCACTCATAATGCTCTCAACTAACAAATAGCAACACCCACTATAATATGTCAGATATATTATATTTGCTTAAGCTGAAACACCAACTATAAAGGAGATGCTAAGAGACAGATAATGTTTATTATTTTTTCTATGAAGGGGTAGGTGGATGGGCTGTCATACCATCTGTGACTTATATGTCACAAAATCATATAATAAATCAAAACAAATTTCCTTTGGGGAGTAAAATCCTAAATATTTAAAAAAATGCTTTTCAGCTTCTACAAGGGGTAACTCTTTTAAGTCTGTTTCTATAAAAGCAACAAAGAAACCTTAAACTATGGCAGCATCTTAAAGATTAATAAATATACTTTTACTGGAGTAATATTAAATGTACAAAGTACTGACAGTGATAATTGCATTCATAATGCTGCATAAAGCAACTGCAACTGTCAGTACTCCCAGCATTTAACATTCCTCAGACTTCACTGTCAACAATCCTATTTCCAACCTAGAGTACTGTCTATACACCAGAAATTCTAGATAACACACTGTGACATTGAAGAAACAGGCTATACAGCTCAAATGCTTATACTGTACTATAATTTGTATGTCTTTAAAAGTGTTAGAGGACCCTGCCAATTTTCATCTGTTTTTTATCAGTTTTATAGCAACTCCTTGAAAATTATGGCTGTAAATATGTACTTAATATTTATAAAGCACCTCTTTCCCACAAAACAAATGTAATCATTCAAAAACATCTCAGAAAGGATGAGACTTACACACAGAGTAACAACATTAATTTCAACAATAATGCAAATGCTATGTCTACAAAAGGAGAATGAGAGCACAAGTCTAAATGCCAAATGAAACAGTACATTAAATATTGGAAAATCACTTTTAATTTTTAAAACAGGAGCCAAGGGTGGGTGGGGGCAGTGATCAGGATTGCAAAGAACAAGCTACCACTCTTCTGTGCTGTGGTCCTGACATCCATCCATAGAAAGCAGCTGGCGTAAGAGGGAATGTGACCAACCAGCATAATTGTTACACTGCTAGATATGAGCTTTGGCATATACTGTATATTCATAAGACCCTGACCTGGAGCACAGGAGGAAAAGGTTAGTCTTTCTTCCTAAGGCGCAACAATCCAATGATGTTTCACATTGTTCTTGGTCTCACAGTAAAGTTTAAAGAAGCAGCATTTCTCCATCAGCATCGGTCAGGCCTCATTCTGAGTTCTAAACTCGGTTCCAAGTTCTACAATAAGGATGCTGATAATTCAGAAAATATTCACATGCTTGCTGTTATGTGTCATCAAGTTAGAACTGCCTAATAAGTTTTAAAGGCCTATTAGGATTGTTAAGTGAGATATTTAAAGAGTGTTTTTATTAGAGGGGATTTGTCAAGTCAGTAAGTTTCACTGATTAAAATGGGTCTACTTTGGTTGCAACTTCCTACACCAAAGTAAGCCACAACCAGAGTAGGCCCATTTGAAACAATGGAACTTGACTCACCAACTTCCCACTGATTCAACGGCATACTCTTACTATGCAACATGATTTCAGTCATTATGTTTAAAAATCTAACAATTCTAAATTGCCCATTTATTAATCGTAAGATAGTATTTCTTTACAGTAAAAAAATGCTAGAAAAAATATATAGCTAGAGGTCTCAAGTAGACATCAGGAAAGTGAATGTTGTGTTAACATTTATTTAATTCTTTACTGTATTTATACTCCACATAATAGCTATGAGGAAATTAGCAATGTATGGATTAATCATTCCTTCAACTCTACCAAAAAACACCAAAATGAACTGGATGAGATAAAAGAATGGACCTTCTAATTAGCAAGCCTACCTTGGTGGGTGCAAGGAGTTTTATCTTTGGCCTTGAAATAAAGGGGAATACAGTATTAGGATTGTGGTGAGAATATTGGGATTGTGGTGAGAGGTTAGGTCTGCTTGAATTTACATAGTATGTAAACTGGCCACAGCTGGCTTGTAACTAGCATATCTGACCTGTTATTCTTGCAGAAGTTACCAATTAGCTAGAAGAGAGAGGCTGCCATCTGATTGGTTAAAAGAGCTGAGCCATCCAGTAAGGGATCATGGGATATAAGACTAGCCAGAACAATGGGTCAGCTAAACATCAAGCAACAGCTTTATGCAGCATGTTTACTTGCTTTGATATGTAATCCAAGCCTGTTATTTATTATATTGAACCCAGTGTGTGTGCTACAATCATGCTATTTTGTAAGTACAGAACTTGATAGCTAGCTTATTTTCTATGGGTTTGATTCTTAACTATCTTAAGTCTCTGAATGCTTTATATTTTAACTTCATCATAGAACTGATTTGAATCATTATTTTAGAGTCTTTGAGTTTGGTTTTAAATTTGTACAGTATGTTCTTTTGAAATTTATGCAATGAAAATGAAAAAAATTTGGTTGTTTTCATTTAGACAACTTAAGGGGTTGGTGGTACTAAAGAACAGTGCCTTGTAGTTAAATTTTTTAAATACTTTATGAACCTTATGTTTTCTACCTTGCAAGGTTGGTTTGCAGTCCGATGCAACAACCTGAAAGTTATGTTCTCCCTGAAGCACCAAAGGAGCAAGCAGCTCAAAGGTGGTGGGAGAAAGGGCTCGCAGCAAGCTTTCCCAATCACTAGTACACTGAACTGGCCATTGACCTTGCAAGCCCCCACAAGTAAAGATACTGTGCCTGAATAGTTAGTGGATCCTCTGTGGTGATGTGTAATCCTTTACAATAGCACAGAAGTTTCATAATTAAAAAATTAAAAATATAGCACACAATAAGATATGTTGCTAATTTGAAAATGGAAGGTGAAGTAGAGTCCTTCCCTCTATATGACTGTTGCCCTTTTAACTGTTGTGTACCAGCTGTGGTTCTGAAACTTAAAGAAAAAAATCCCACCACCAAACTATCTGCAATGCATCAGCTTTAGGGCAAAAACATTAACTGAGCACCATTTCTACTGCTCCTCTTCACTCTGCTTTCAGACTCCGGAACACATACAGATTCTGAGACGACCCATTAAGCGTGCTACTCCGCACTTACATTACAAATCTGGCTTTGAGCCAACAGTTGGCTCAACACAGGATTACAGAATACAAACAAGCCCCAAAGATATACATTAGAGATGTACAAAATAAGCAGTGGACAATTCACGAATGACCAGAGAAACATTTTTATTTTTATGTTTGCCAAGAAAAAGAGAAACCTAGAAGGCAAGCTGATACCTGCAGAAACAAACAAGCAGGGACAGGCAAGACCACCATATTCTGAGCATCGTAGTCCTGATAAGTATTTAAAAATTCCACCAAAAGGAAAAGAATGCTTCAGCATGTAGAACTTCTATTTTGAAAAAAGAGACTAATTATTAGTCTAACCTGCAGTTGGGGAGATAGTCATTCATGCAGTCTATCTGAAGCCCCTGCTAGGATTATCAATTTCAAGGTCAAATCACTGCACAATTTTCAGTTTCCCAACTGAAATTGGGGTGAGGGGATTGTAACCACAAAGTTTCATAGCCCTCCCTTTTCCATAAGTTTTGCAGAACATTCGCAGTTGTATAGGAAGTTATGAAGGGAGGTGGAGTCACTAATTCTAGTGAAGCACTGGAATCCATTAGAAAAGAACACAACTGGATAGTGGCTTACTTATTTAAAGGGAAATTAAATACTGTACAGGCAGGTTTGCTTCGGAATGCTGTTTTAGAAAGGTTCCTATCAATTTCTGGATAAGAATTAAACTATTAATTTGCTCTGAAAAGGGGGAAGTGGCAAGTTTAAATTAGGCCACAGGAGTAATTCATATCCCAAAAGAAGTGATTGTATCATAAGATTGTTAACTGCATTTCAACAATTCTGTAACAACACTTAAAATAAGTAAATGTTCATAACCCACAGGAAAGGTAGTGTCATGATTCATTTTTTAATTATGCTCTCTCTGTATGATTCTGTAGCAGGTTCCAACACTAGTTAGAACAATCCCAAGAGATCTGGCCTACAAACACAAGGCTTATTCATGTTTAAGGTCAAAGAGAATATTTTTTAAAAGCAAGCATTTTTAAATGTATTTTTGACACCAAGATGTTGTATTCTAGTAAAGTAAAGGACATGAGAAGTTTTGAAGTAACACAGAACAGATAAAGAAGTGCCTGTCTTGCTAAGAAAATTTGCAAGTAAATAGGGATGTACATGGAGAAAATGTTTGTGTTTAATCCATTTTGGGTTCTTGGCAGACTGTTTTTCTTTCATTTTCATGTTTTTCATGCACTGCTCTTTTTGTTTGACATGACCTCTCTGGGGTCATTTCATTCTTCCCCATTTGTGTCTTCTGGCGTACTTCAAAAAAGCAAAGATAAGGCAACAGAGAAGTGATCTACTCTAATGAAGGCAATGGTATAACAAACCATGAGAACTATCAGACAAAACAGTCCTTTTGGAAACGCACCAAAATATATACCGTTATCAGAATAAATACATGGTAAATTAAACAAATAACTTTTTTTAAAAAAATCAAACACAGAAAGCACACACACTCCCACATAAAGGGGAAACCCCCTCC